GGGGGGCGGGGAGGTCTGCGGGACACCAGCTGCCCCACTTCCCAGCGGCTTCCTTGGCCACAGGCCTGCACAGAACACTGGCTACTCCCTGTTGCTCAGCCTTCTGGCATCTCAGCCTTGGGGGGCCCTCGGGCAGGCTGCTCAGCGTTCTGTTCCTCACCTGTGTGTGGGTTAGCACGCCCGCATCTCTCTGTCCTCATTTCCTTCCCTGCTGTTGTGACCGCAGATTCTTGGGTCTAGTCTCCGGTTTCCCTCAGGCAGGCTGGGAGTGGAGCTGCTAATTTGGACAAGGGTGGACTACAAGACCTCCACGCCCCCTCACCCCACCTCCCTGACCGGGAAGATGATACTATCTGATCATGAATGACAACAAGAACACATCTATGGAACGTTTCAGACTGAGAAAAAAGTCCTTCCAGATCCTGTTCGGCAGAGACTCACTGCCCCCGGCTTCTTTGCCGGCTCCTTTCTGAGCGTCCTTTCTGAGCGTCCTTCTGTCTGTTTGTTTGACCTCGATGAGCTCAGGCGTGGTGTCCAGTCACACACGCCACCCAAGGCCCTCCGTGGCCTAGATGGGGGCTCGGTAGACCACTATGCCTGCGGGGAACTGATCCAAAGAGCATCCAGACCCCCTCCCCAGAGGCCCCGACACCAGCTGGGGTCAGCGCCTGCTGTCATCAAGTGGGCTCCGGGGTAGGTCCCCTCCCCACAGAGTGGGGGGAGGAATGGTCAGGGCAGCAGGGACCCAATGACGTCAGCCCTTTGCTGTTGCTTCCTGGTGCTGGCTGAAGTGTTTGCCCGGGAGTTCCAGCTCTGGGTCATCTGTCGGTTTGGGGCCCTGCCCACCAAAGGTCACAGGCAGGGAGGGGGGCTGCAGCTGGAGCCCTCTCCAGGGGGTGCCCCTGGGCCACAAGGCATCTCCCTCCCACCCCCACCCCCCTGCATTTATTTCCCACCCAGCTCAGTTTGCTTTGGGCAGCAGCCCAGCCAGAGGAAAACAAACGCAGCTGGGTCGCCTGAGCCCACTAACCCCCCTACCCCCCCAGTGGTGTGTCCTCAGGCGGCGGCCCGGGGCAGCTGTGCTCCAGCCAGGAAGAGTGAGGCTTCTTGGGGCAGCTCGCTGGCTGTCAGCTCCTGGCTGCACCCTTCTTTGGCCTGGACACCCTGACTGCAGGGCCTGAGTTCTGCTTAGCTCCCGC